CAGAAGCTTGGTCTCAGGGTTTATGACCTCGTCTTGAGAATCACACACCATTGCTTCTACGGCATTTTATTGCGATGCAGCTCAGCTCCATTCAGTGTGTGTGTGTGTGTGTGTGTGTGTGTGTGTGTGTGTGTGTGTGTGTGTGTACTACATAAAGGCAAGAATACCAGGAGGTAAGGATCACTGGGGCCATTTTGGTGGCTGGCTACCATAGGCTAGATAAGAGATCTGGTATTCTAGGGGGCTCTGGGGCAAGGGGTCATGAAGAAAGAGTTATAGATTGAGCTTGGGAAAGACAGAGGCTTAGGAGCATGTTAGCTTCCCAGTGCGGCCGTAACAAAGTACCACAAACTTGATGGCTTGGAACAACAGCTCTATATTTTCTCATAGTTCTGGAAGCCAGAATCAAGGGGTTAGCTGGGTCTCTTCCCTTTAGAGGCTCCAAGGGAGAAGTCCTTCCATGCGTCTCTCCTAGCTTCAGAGGGCTCCCAGAAATCCTTGGTGTTCCTCAGCTTGATCTGCATCACTTCGATCTCTACCTCTGTCTTCACATGGCCATCTCCCGTGTGTGTGTGTGTGCGCGCGCGCGTGCACGCGTGTGTGAAACCTCCCTCTCCTTTCTCTTATAAGGAAATCAGTCACCAGATTTAAAGCCAGTCTTCAATACAGGATGATCTCCTCCTGAGATCCTTAATTTAATCACATTTACAAAAACCTTATTTACAAATGAGGTCACGTTCATGGGCACCAGGGGTTAGGACTTCAGCATGTCTTGTTGGGAACACCATTCAACCCACCATAGGAGATATCCCCATGGAGGGGCTGGTTGAGGCCATGACCTAATATCTCCATCTGCTTCGGCTCAGGTGTCATCTCCTCTAGGGAGCCTGCTACCTCTGCTTTGTGCCCCGCAGCACCTGTGCCTGCCACCATCACTGCCACCATTATTCCTTCAACTAACGTTTACAGGGCAACTGCTCTATGTCAAGCACTGAGCTGGGTCCCAGGGGTACAGCAGTTAAGGCTGTCAAATTTAGCATACAAAAATACGGGACACTCAGTGAAATCTGAATTTCAGATAAAGAGTGAGTTTAAGCTTGTCCTGTGGATTGTATCTGGCAGCCTTAATGGCAGCGGAGGAGACATGCGCGGCCCCCAGCTGCCATGGAGCCTGCAGTCTTATGGGGGAGATGGCGGGACTGAGTGACCTTGATGCTATGTGATAGAGCTGAACAAGGTATTGGCAGGAAGTGTGCCCAGGCCAGCTATGTGAGTGAGAAAAGGCTTCCAATGTTTAAGCTGGGGACCCCAGTGAAGAAAGAGGGTTTCAGGTGAAGGGCCAAAGGTGGGTGTGGAGAGCGGCCCCCTGGCCAGGCGGGCAGAACCCAAACACATAACCCCTAACCCCTCACGGAGCCCAGAACCTCAGAGGGCTTTAACTGGCCTGACCAGATACCAGATATGCATTTTAGAAAGAGGGGGATGTGTCACGAATGCCAACAAACAAACAAACAAACAAACAGCGGGTTGAGGATTTGTTGGCCTGAGAAACAAGGAGATAGAGATGGTAGGCCACTTTCTCCAAAAGTTTTTGAGTAGGAGGGAGGCCCAGTGCAGGCTGGAGCTGGAGAGGAGCAGAGTTGAGAAAGGCTGGGGGGATGGAAGGAGGACTGCAGGGAGGGACCTTGAGGGGACGAGGCCCAGGGCCAGAGATCTGGCCTTGGAGGAGGCTCAGCTCCCCGGTTGGTGGGATAGGAGGGTGGGCGCGTTCAGATTCTTTTGGGGAAATCAGGGGACTCTCAGGGCTCACTGATCACACAGTGCAAAGTCCGCCTTTCCCTGGTCGTGCTGTGACACATCCTCCCAGGGGCAAGGCTTGTCCCCCAAACCTGTTGTCCAGCTCACAAGACAGCATGGAGCACATGATGGCCCCATGCCTCCATGGAGCAAATGACCAAATGGACTGTTGGGAGCAATTGAGAGCTCTAGAGTCAGAAGAGGACAAAATACAGAGCTTGGGGGAGTGGCTGCCTTGGGAAGGAGGAGAGACCAGGAAGGAGGTAGGAGGGGTGCAGGGCCTGGGAGAGAGGGGTTCAGAAAGAGGAAGAATGGAGAAGCCCCCCGGACCAGCTGCCCGGGAGCTGGAGAGAGTGGCTAATATCTGGCAGATATCTGGCAGGGAAGGGTTGCTGGGAGGGGTGGGGAAGGGGCAGAGAGGGTGGGGAGATGTACTTTCCTTTCCTGCCCTATGCCAGGCCATGCCAGGTGCTGTCCACCATCCCATCTCATTTAATCTCATTTAATTCTCACAATTCCCATGGAAGATGATGATGAAGATGATGGCTGTGGGTAGTCTCACTCTGGAAATAAGGAAACTGAGTCTCGAAAACTTTAGGCACCTTGCCTAAAGTCACAAAGCCCCTAAGTAGCAGAGAGGGAGTTTAAACCCAGGCTGGTCTGATTCCAAAGCAGGCTCTGTTCATTACCTCAGTAGATCTGGGCAGGGGACAGGCCATAATTGGGAGCAGCCCCCAAGGACATTGCTGTGGGGCAGGAACAGGGCCTTGGGCCTTCTTAGGCCTCCAGAGGGCCTAGATGATGTCACCTCCCCGAGAGACCACTGGGCCACCTCCCAGGCCTTGTCTGGTATCCAGCAAATTCCAGCAGCCTGGGAGTGGATGGGTGGACCTAAGAGTGGGGAGTGGAAGAAGAGACAGGGCACAAAGCAGTCAAGGTGACAGTCACCCGATCCCTGAAACAGTTGACCATGAAGTTCAATGTGAGTAAAGAGAGAAGAGAAGCCAGCAGAGGGCTGCGCTGGCTTCGGGGCTGAGCCTCATTCCCACCTTTTCCTACTGCTTCCTGTTTCCTTGGCTCTGCAGATACTGTTCCTTCCCCTGGAATCTCCTTGCCTCCTTCTCCTTCAAGAGCAAGTTCAGATGTCCCTCTTCCCACCTGGGCCACCCGCCTCCAGCCCTTAGGCTCCCTCTTTGGGTCCCCAGAGTGCTTAGCAACCAGATTTTCAGAATCACAAGGAATAGGATGCAGGCTGAAGGGTCATTCTAACCAACCTGCATCCCCTCCATGGTCTCATCCATCCTCAGCTTTACATACACTGACTGTGCTGAAATTTGTACCTCCTGCCTGGACCTTGCCACGGAGTTCCAGACTCTGATTTCTCCACACTTCCATATGAAGATCTAAAAAGGCACCTCAAACCAGACATGGCCAAAACAAAATTCCTGATCTTCCCCTTCCCCACCCGCACCTGGCTACTTGCAAAGTGGTCCGCATCTCAGTCGAAGTCACTCCATTTTTTTCAGTAGCACACGCTAAAAATATTGAAGGCATCTTAACACTTTCCTTTCCCTCATACCCAATCCGCCCACAAGTCCTCTTGGCTCTACTTTCGACATGCATCCCAGTTCTGACCCCTTTTCCCACCTCCCCTGCTATCCAGCTCGTTCCGGCATCATCGCTCTTGCCTCGATTAGAGCAGTGGCTACTGCACTGCCTCTCCCTTGACCTCACCCCTACACTCCCTTCTCAGCCCAGCAGCCGGTGGTACTGGGAGCAGCCCTTCTGCTCCTCCACTCAAACTCTCCGATGGTGACCCAGCTCGCTCTAGTCTCAGTCAGTCAAAGTCTTTCAAACCCTACCAGCCCTAAATGATCCTCTACTTACTTACCTGTCTGATTTCACCTCCTACTATTCTGCTCCAGCCACATTGTACTCACTTCTTGCAGTTCCTCGAATATTCCAATTATGCTCCTGCTTGGGTGTTTTGCACTAGCTGTACCACCTGCCTGGAATGTCCTTCTCCCAGATAGCCTCATGACTCGTCCCCTGCTCTCCTTCAGATCTTGACTCAAATGTCACCTCATGTTTGCCCTCGCTGAGCATCTTAGCTAAAACGAGAAACCCCGACCTCCCCTGTCCTCCTTCCATGCTCGATTTTTCTCTGTCGAATCTATATCATCAAACGTTATTAGAATACTCCTTCTAGAATACAAGTTCCATGAGAGCAGTGTCTTTTCTGTTGGTTATTGCTTTCTTTGCTTCCAGAAACAGTGCCTAGCATACAATAGCCACTCAGCAAATGCTGCTTGCATACCTGTTTGGAGGCCTTCATTACACTGAGCACTGAAGATGAGACAATGAGCAAAACCTGATAGGCTGTGAAGCTTAAGTCTAGGGCAGCGTTTCTACAATTTTCCTGTGTTCGACCCTACTGGGGAGATCTTAGAAGCCAAGACTCTGGCTCCTCCTCTGGATTTTCTGGGGATAGGCCCCAGGGGTATGCACAATGCACAGGCTCCCCGGGTGGTTCTGAGGCAGGTCATGCAGGGGTCATGTTCTGATCTTCTGGGATAGACTGAAAAACTGTCTAATATGCTTGGGGTCTCACTTTCCCAGCATCAGCCACTTACCATTAAACAGTTGTGCATGCCTGTCTGCTCTCTAAACAGTGTTTTGGACTGCAACGGGCATTTTGCTCCTCTCTGTGGCCCCTGGGCTCAGTTCAGCGTAGGTGCCAGTAAACGTTTATTGAGAGAGCAAATGAATGGAAAGTGAATGAATGGTGACAAGATGAATGATTGAATAAAGGGATTCTGGTTAGAAAAGAATTTAAAGAGGTCACGATTTAGAAGGTGGGAACGGTTCCAAAGAGTTCTGTGCCCGAAGGTTACAGGAGGGGCTACTTCAAAAAAGTACTTCAGAAGTTGTGACGCGTTTGGTCGTCTGTGAAGGTGGCTGCTCCTCTGGCTGTCTGGGGCTGGGCGGGGCCCCAGAGAGGCAGAGCGCTGGGGTGGCGAGGCCACCCACCCAGCGGCCCAAAGGCCGGCTGCATTCAGCCCGGCGCGGCGGTTGTCATAGCTACAGACGCAGCCTGACGAGAGGGGGGCGTGCCCGGGCCTACGTCATTCCCAGCGCGACGCTGCTCCGCGCCTCCCGCCTCTTTAGGCTGCGAGACCCTCGGCCCGCCCCCGGAGCTCTCCACCTGCACGCCGGTCCCCGCCAGCCCCCCTCCCCGTCTCTGCGCAGGCGCGCTGCCCACCGGGGCGCGCGGGAGGCCCGCGAGGCGCATGCGCGTTGCGGGGCCCACGGCCGCTCTGGTTTCGCCGCTGCCGCCGTAGTCACCGTTGCCGCCTCCCTGCTGGCAAGTGTGGGAAGGAGGAGCTGAGGGCTGCCGCCGCCGTTGCCGCCATGGGGGTGAGTGAGGCAGGGAGAGGAGACTCGAGGGCTGGGAGCGCTCCCCGCTCCCCTCGCGCCCTGCGCCCCCATTGTTCCTGACCCCCCCTCACGTGACCCCGACCCCCTCCGGCCTCACGTGACCCCCAGCCCCCACATGACCTGATTCCCCCATTCGACGTGTTCCCACACTGGTCCCAGACCGGGAATCCCCTGTGGAGGCCCCTTCTCCGGGCCCCACCTCCTTGGGTGCCCCCCCCCCCGCCCCTCGCGTCGGCCCTGCCTTCCTGGATGACCTGTTACCTTCGTGGCTTCTCCCTCCCTCCGCGCAAACCTTAAGGTATCCCCCCCACCCCCAGGGGTCACCGTCACCTGGTTGTCACTAGCTTCGCGGCTTCCGCATCCTAGGCCACTCCTGGCCTGGAGGTAACTGAGGCCCAGAGAAAAGAAGGCGCCCAGCCAAGGTCACACAGGCAGTGACTGGGGCCAGACCCCGACTTGGGTCTCGCGAATTCGCGGCCGCTGTGCTTCCCGCTGCTCGGAATCTCAGTGGAGCCCGTTCCTCTACTCTCTTTCGAAACCTTTGCACCAGGCTCCTCCTCCTCCTAAAACAGTCTCTTTCCAACAGAGGCCTGCCTTCACGGCCTCCTAGATGCAGTGAGGTGGTGCTAATTCTTACCTGGGTTGGTAGCAGTCTTAGGACAGCCGGTGGCTTTGCACGGAGAAGCCGTTTAGAAGGTGGGCCGGAGACTGAAGCGGGACCACTGGTGGTGCCCGCAGCCGCGGACGCATAGTGACCACCTGTTCTGTGCAAGGCCGCCTGGAGTCGCATTTCTTGCCCTTCCTTGGCACGTGCTCATAGAGGTTTGGCAGAAGTTATGCACATGTTTCTGTGAGTTCACCATCCCACGTGCCAAATAGAGTAGCATCAGTCACTCTCCTAAAAATGTAACCGGTGCTCCTTGTGTATATTATTAGTTTTTACATGGAATTTTCCCCACCTGTGGGGAGCCCTGGTTTTGGAGCCAGAGCTACCTCAGTTCCAACCCCATTCACTGGCTAGCAGCATGATATCGTGACATGGCCTTTCCGAATTTGAATTTGAATTTGAATTTCCTCATCTGTCCGATGAAGATGATGATACCCTTTAGGAGAGATTCGAGGATTAAATGAGATAGTGGATGTAAATGGCCAAATAGGTGCCTCTTAAATAGTGGCTGGTATTTTTGCCTGTATTCTCAGCCTTTACTTTAGTCATCCAAAATAGATTTGTGCTATTTTTAACCCATTGGGTTTGTCCCTACTGTTAATAACCTAGATTTTTTTCTCACTCAGTTATTGACTGAACAAATCAACTTGTTAGACAAAAATAGTTGTCTAATCCATGTCAAAACACATTCACCATATTTCAACAAGGGATTTCAATACTATGTACTTCACATGCAGAAAGTCAAGTCTAGAGACTTTGGCACATTGAACCGAGACTTGGTTGAAAGGTCCCAGACCCAGCTCTTGAAAGTGAATAAAACCTATGTGCCAAGTATCACTTGGTAAGTGGCTACCCAGCATCAGCCCCTACAGACTAAGCAGAAAACAAGAAGTATTACATGCCGTTTTGGTTCATCGCTTCCTCATTGGCAGGCTTCAGAGATACTGTGATCCTTGCTTCCCTTAGGGCCCCAGTCTTACTACTGATTGTTTACAAGTGTGTTTCTCAGAACGGCCCCTACCTAGTCTCTTCTGACCTAAAACTCACTGCAAAAGAGACTTGAATTTTCCTCCCTGAAATGGAGCTGGAAACATCTCATTATCCTCATGGCTTCATGGGTCAGGGCTGTGGACGCCCCACCCCACTGTGGGGAAGGTCGTCGCCCTCCAGCAGAGGGCCCGGCTCCTTCTGACAGCCTGCCCTCAGGCTTAGAAAGAACAGTATCAGATGGAGCATCATGCTCAAAATTCTTTTGCCGGCTGCCACAGATATGTTGTCTCTTAGGAATTAGAATTTAGATATGTCTCCCTTTGCCCGAAACAGGTTCTTTTTGGATCCTGAATACTTTGTGGGATGGAGGCATTGACATTGAAAATCTAGAAGATGCCAAATCCTTTTTCTGAGAGGTGCCTCCTGCCCTCATCTGATGTTTTTGTGTTTTTAATTCCTCCATGTGAGCCCAGCAATCAGAGAACTGCTTGTGGAGATGCTAGTTTGATAAGAGTAGCAGAGGGAGGAGTTTCACAGCTGCATGTAAAGATAGCGTTTATGTCTCACTCTATAACAATAAGTGCCATATTAGTGTAATTGATGTAGTAGAAGGAGCATGAAATCCAGGCTTCAGACCCGGATCTGAATCCTGGATGATTCATTCATCAGTGTTTGCTGAACACTGGTATACATTGGGAAATAATGCAGATGTGACCTCTGCCTCATGGAGTGTACAGTCCAGTGGGAGTGGAGGGAGGGCGTGATAGCAAGACCTCTTTGAGAATTCTGTTCACTGGTTCTGTGACCCTGAAAGTTCTCTTGCCTCTGCGCCTCAGTTTTCTCGTCAAAGAGGTGGGCACACATACATACCTTGTTGAGTTACTGTAAAGATCAAAATAAATCATCTTTATGGAAGCACTAGCAGAGCATCTGACATTAGTGGGTCCTTGTAAACAGAAGTCCTTCCTGTAAAGTATTTCTGTATCTACTACCTTCTAGCATTTTGTCCTCAACAACAGTCCTGGGAGGTGTAGGCATTGTTAGCCCCATTTTTTAGATGTGGAAATCGAGGTTCAGAGAAACTGAGTTACTTGCTGAAAAGAGATTAAATAACTTGCCTAAAGTCACACAGCTATTAAGTAGAAGAGCTGAGAATCAAATCCAGGTCTCTTGACTCAAAATCCCACACTCTTTTTATTATATAAAGTTCCCTTGGGAAAGACATTTAACCACAATGAGCTTTACTGTTCACTGTGCTTATTTCCCATTTTAATTAGGAGAATTTTTCTGTGTCCCCACAGGATAGTCTTACCTCCACAAGGCAGGGCAAAGCTAATTGGAACAGTAGGAGACCACTTTCCCTAGTGTGCGCTAGGTTCGTGGGGGAGCCCGTGCCTGTCTGGCCCAGCCTGCCGCAGCTTGCCTCACACCCCGTGTGCAGGCAGCAGAGCGCCTAAAGGGGCTCTTTCATGGTCTGCAGTCTGGAGCCGTGGCAGCCCCAAGCCTCGCTCTGAGGATTGCCTGGCTCGCCTGTTGCCCTGCATGAATGAGCCCATAAATCTGGAGGCCCGGGGTTGGCTCTCCTGCTGATCGTGCTTAGGAATTACTTACTTCATGTGCTCAGAAACGAGATGCTACGGAGGGAACCCACATCTCAGTGCTTTCTGGGTCCCGGGAGTCTCTTTCTTTCAGCACCTTTGATCCTTCAGCTCTGCATCCTCTTAAGAGAGAGCAGCATGCAGCGTGGAGGAGGGAAGCCGCCTCTGCTGTGGAGTGTGCTGACTCCTGACCAGTCCTTACAGCTGTTCTGTGAGGCCAGCATTGCAACCCCATCTTCCTGGAGGTGGAGTTGCCTTCACAGGCCATGCAGGGGGCGGCGGGAGGAACATCGGCCTGGCCTGACTGACGCCAAAGCTCATGTTCTTTCTGCCCCATCACACAGCCCTGGAGACCTTGTGTCTCAGGTTTCCCTGTTCCTCACTCCTACCCCAGTATGGAGGTAGGGCCTGGGGTGGCACTGTGTTGGCGTGTCATACCTGTGGTTACCGAGCCAGAAAGGTAATGAGAAATGAATTGCTGAATAGCTGCCTTGAGGGTTCCCTGTCTCATCTTGACCTTAACCTTGGTCAGGCTGAGGTCTTTGACACTGACCTAGGTTCTCCCTGGTAGAACGAACACTGGATCTGCTGCCCACCCCGGGGGTTGAGTCTCCCTTTTGCCATTTACTTTTTGGGGAACTCGGAATGGGTCACACCATCCCTTTGAGCCTCAGTTTCTGTATGTGTAAGGGAGATGATGGTTTCTGTCTTGGGAATTGAACCAGACAATATTCGTGAAAACGCTTTGCAAGCTGAGTGTATCTCAATGTTGTCTTGAAATCCAGCTTCCCAAAGAAAACGATGGATGCTCTAAAACTTGTATGTGATAGAGAGGGGCTCATTCTGTCCGCAGATCCCAGCACTGTGAAGATGGCCTGTTCTCTTCTGTTTGTTCCTTCCTTTAGGGAGGTAAGAAATGGGATCTAGTCTGGCTTCCAGCACAGGGCTCAGCCTGCAGATGATAAATAGCTGGTGTTGGGCGACTTTACACCTAGAGCAGTCTCTGTGTTCCTGGTATCTGAACTCTTGCCGCGGTATCTTGAAGTGTGAGTTAAGCAGTGTCCCTCCCTGGGGAACCGAGGGTGGAATTTATCCTGAAAAACTTTCCCAGCCACTGGTTTTCAATTCACCCTTTCCTGGGACCAGTCAGTATCTGTGATTGGAGGTAGCAGAACCTCTTTTTGGTGAGTTCGGGGAAATGAGGGGGGCAGTTGGTAAAAAGCAGAGCTATCTTACCAGTGCTTTTGGGGTGCCTCTGGGTTCGGGCTGAGTGTGCTACTCTGGTCCTTGGGAGTAAGAACGGGAGCTGTCATTTATTGAGCATGTGCCATATTAATCCTCATCCTCATGGGCTTAAAACTTCCAAGGAGATATGAGGGGCCCCACTCGTCAGATGAAGAAAGGGGCTCAGAGCAGGGCTGTGTTTTGCCCGAAGACCACAGGGCCTGAGGAGCAGAAAGAGCCTTTGGTTAAGGCCTGTCAGACTCCAGAGCCGGGCTTTTTCCCTGTGTTACCAGCTTTTACAGGAGGACAAGCGAGTCCATTTAGGCCTGAGGGAACCCCACACGGGCCTCAGGATAGGATCTGCTCCAGATGCGGTTATGGGTGGTTCGCCGTTTGCCCCTCTGTGCAAGGACAGCCTCCTTTTGCTCCTCCCTGCTGCCCGTGTGGCTGCAACTTGGCCTTGCTGGCCATGTGTCAGCATGGCCTCTGTCCCCAGGTGAACCCCTTGGGGCCCTTCACTCTCCCCTGTCTACTAGGTGGATGGTGTGCCTGCCACTCATTGGCCTTGGCTGAGCAGCTCTTCTGGGGAACGGCTGTCTCCTTAAGCCAGAGTGCCCTGGCCTTAGTTTAGAAAGGGGCCCAGCTCCCAGAGGGGCTGTCCCCACGCCGGAAGCTGGAAGACACTGAAAAGCCTTTGAATAAACTTATACTTAGGAACAGCTGTCAGCAGCCACCTCAGATGCCATCTCCTCCCTGAAACTTGCCCTGATTGTGTCTAAAATTAGTTGTTCCCTCCTTAGGAAGGGATGGGAGGTGGTGAATATTTATTAGGTACCTACTCAGGCTAGGCTCTGCTGCAGGCATTGTCACGTGGTCTCACTGGGTCCTCACAGTGACTCAGCTGTCCTAAGGGTCAATATTCTTCCTGATAAGGAAGCCGAGAAGTTGATGACACTCCCAAGGTCTCACAACTGGAGCCTGCTTGGATCTTTCCCACCCCAGCAAGTGTGCAGCAGCTGGGACTGAAGTTCTTGCCGCTGAGGCCAGGCCTGTGGACACAGACCCTTCAGTTCCTCAAAGGGAAAGTCAGGTCTTGGTTGGCCACAGCCCCTCCAGCCAACTTTGCTTTTCCCTGTTGCAGAGGAAGTCGAGCAAAGCAAAGGAGAAGAAGCAGAAGCGGTTGGAGGAGCGAGCAGCCATGGATGCTGTCTGTGCCAAAGTGGATGCCGCCAACAGGGTGACTCTCCCCTCCTTCCCAGTCCCTTCATCCTGGAACTTCAACTTGGTTTTTAATTTTACTTCTTTTGGCGCCACCCTGTGGCAGAATTGTGTTACTACCCACCCACACCGCTCGCTGCCTCCTTGCCGAGGAGAATGCGCCAAAATGAGCAGGAGAGTTTCCCTGGCCCACGTGGGCAGGGAGGGAAATGCAGATTCAAATGGAAGTGGCTGCTGCTCTCTGGGGGTCTCCTCCGTACCAAAAGAAGAGAGTCGAGAAATTTTCGTTAAGATTTTGCATTTTAGGGTGGAAACCTCCCTCGTAAAATATGTAATTTTCTCATTCATTCCTTCAAACATTGACTGCCCATGAAGTCCCAGAGGCTGTGCTGGGACCAGGAAGATGCAGCTGCCTGGTTTCAAGGGTCTGCAGTCGGATGGAGTAGCTGTGAATCTGAGCACCATATGGACCCAGTTTTCAAGCTGAACCAGAGATTCTGGTCATGCTTCCTGCCCCCTTCATCTCCCATTTTTTATTCTTTTAGTCCACTCAGTAAATAGTCCACATTTATAAAGATGTGTCTCAGGGATGTGATTTCCCATTTTGGGTTTTGACCGGGTGAGGTTAGTTGGGGGCTTCTTAGACGTATGCAAGTCGATTAAGTGGCCTCTCTCCTTTGGGTCCAGTGAGCGGTGAGCAGGTTGTATGCCCGCAGGCTAGTATTAGCATTAGGCTTGTAAAGTCTTGTCTTACCCTGTCAAATGAAGCTAACTTACCTCTCCTGAGCCTCCGACATGTGAACTCAGAGCTGAGGCAGATGAAGGGTCTGTCTGAGGGAGCCCCCAGGCCCAGGGGCTCAGCCTCCCAAGGTGGGTCGTACCAGCATTGGATGTGAAGGCGGAGCCTGCGACCCTGCCACATGTGTGTCTTTGCTAATCCTCTTTTTTTTTCCCTCCATAGCTTGGAGACCCCTTGGAGGCTTTCCCAGTGTTCAAGAAATATGATCGGAATGGGTGAGTGTTCAGCATTCCTAACTTTGTCTCTTTGCATGTCTTCAGGAATTTCCCTTTCCAGAGTGGGCTTCTTCAGACTCAAATTTTCTCGTTCTTCTTTGTTAGGAAAAAGCAGAAAAAGCTGGTGTGCCCTGTTGATATAAAATGTCCCCAGTGAGGGTGACAGAGGAATCCATAGATGAGCAAAGATTGCGTAATCTCAGACTGATGTCTCTAGGATGTGTTATTCTCTCTAGACAAAGAATCATAGAGCTGAAACACTTGAAAAATCATATAGGCTGACTCTCTCCTCTTATAAAGGGAGAAACTGAGGCTCGGAGAAGTTGAATGAAATTCGAGCTTACAGAGTTTCTCTCTGGCAGCCAAGGGGGCTTTTAATTCCCTATGCAGTACTCTTTCCTTCATTGTATGGTATACTTGTTAAAAGCCACTTACTGGCTTTGTGACCCTGCACAAATCACTTAACTTCTCTGTGTTTCAATTTTCTAATCAAGAATGGGTCTAATAATAGCACCTTCCCAATAGAATTGTCAGGAGGATTAGGTATAAAGCATTAGTGCCTGGAGCATCCTAAAAGCTAGATCAGTGTTAGCCGATATTACCACCCAGTTACTACTAATCCAGTTTATCTTAGGATCCTGATTAGAGCCCCCCTCCCCTTTCTGTCCTCTTGGTTTATAAAATAGGATGCATAATTTGTCTTACCAGAGATGCTCTGGCTGAAGGGGAAGTGGGGGTTATGGTTTTAGGGAATCACAGCTATGGGTTTGAATCATAACCATGCTTCTTATTAACTATACTTGGACAAGTGAGCCATACTCTGCAAGCCTCTTTCATTAATCTATTAAATAGAGTGAAGATGCCGAACTCACAAAATTGTTTTGAGGAGGAAAAAGAATGTATCCAGCTCTGTAAGTAGCAGCTGGTACGAGTATTTTAACGGACAAGATAGACAAATGCAAATATATGAATTATGAAGCAAAGACTGTAGTAGGAAACACTCTATTTGCCTTTCATAGCTGTGTCTGGATTTCATAATATCGCATTAATGTTTTCATTCTTCCTGTCTATATCAGACACATTACAGTTCCTCTGGTAGCTTTGTCATTCAGCTTCTGGGAGGGCCTTTGACATAGGTTAGCCATCCTGTCCTGTGCTAGCTCTTAGTGTCCATACTCCACATTCCTACTGACTTCCAGAAATATGCAACAGCTCTGAAGCAGTCAGTGCCACCTGACTCGGGGCTCCTTCAGTGCCTAGAGTTTTGTGTGCTTCGCGTGGCTGCAATCCTGCATTCCTGAACTTGACTCAGAGTAGCGGAGTGTCATGCCTACAGACTGCTTTTTAGAAAATAAAAAGCTTAGACAGATGCAGTGCTGTGTTTGGGCATCTCTGACTACTGCGTGGTCACTACGTGCAAAGAAAGGAAGACTCTTAAAGAGCCAGGAAGTTTCAAACTTATAAAACTGAGCACCTGTGTGGCTCAAAGGGTGTGCCAGTCTGCAGAGGTGAGGGTGGGTTCCAGTGGGAGCCGCCTCTGAGGGGTCGTGTCAGAAGCCACTGAGAGATACTGCTGTGGTGCTCTGCAAAGACTTCAAGGAGCTGACCTCAGTACTTTCAGAATGTGACACTTCCTAGAGAATGCGATTTCACAGTGTGGCCAAGGCGTTTAACTGTAATTTACTTAAAATTCATTTAGAAGTAACTAGCAGATTAAAATGCCTGAATGCCTACAGCATTTGTTAGTTTAGGAAAACACTGTGAGGTTGGACCAGGTTCTACCCTGTTTGATCAGCTGAGACCCCGCTGTATCCTCAGAGCGGAGTATGGGCCACAGTCTGCTCAGAGGGTCAGAGGTCACCCAGACACCTTCAAAGGAGAGAGGTAGATAAGTAGGAAGAGGTCCCAAGGGAGCCCAGTGAGGAGTCAGTTCAGAATTAAAGCAAGAGTGAAAATGCCTCAGGGCGGGAACCAAGGGAACAGAGGAGATGAGTGTAAATCAGGAAGTACAGAAGAGGCTGGGGAGAAAGAGGCGTCAGGGACTGCTACGAGCTGTGCAGGGGAGGCAGGAAATGGGACTTGCGGTCAGGGTGGTGGGCCTGTGATGACAGTTGTTAATCTGAGCCCAAAAGGCTTAGTTCCCGCCCAGGCAGCTGCCGTAGCCTTCCGAGAAGGCAAGGCTTGGCTTTTCTGTGTTGATGGACTGCTGTCAGGCCCGCCCCACTGCCAGCTTCCAGGCCAGCGGGCAGCGCTGGGCCAGCAGCCGGCTCCACCTGCCTCCTCTCCTCCGCCCAGGTTAAATGTCTCCATCGAATGTAAGCGAGTGTCGGGACTGGAGCCAGCCACCGTGGATTGGGCCTTTGACCTGACAAAAACCAACATGCAGACCATGTAGGTGCACTCGGCAGGACGGGTCTCTGCCCCAGGCCGCTCTCCTCTCCCAGAGTTCCTGATCCTGACCGTGCCCCAATCTCCCAGGTATGAGCAGAGCGAGTGGGGCTGGAAGGACCGAGAGAAACGGGAAGAAATGACAGACGACCGAGCCTGGTACCTCATTGCTTGGGAAAACAGTTCCGTCCCCGTTGCCTTTTCTCATTTCCGGTTTGACGTGGAGTGCGGGGATGAAGTCTTGTACTGGTAGGAGCCTCAGCTTGGGGGTGTGGCTGGGGGCGTGGACAGTGCTGTTCTAGGCGCTCCAGCCTGGTGGCAGAGTACACTGTGCCTGTCAGGCTGTGGGCCCGCTGTCAGGACCTGCCACTTCCTCACACCTGTGTCTCTGCTCCCGTCACCCAGCTATGAAGTGCAATTGGAAAGCAAGGTGCGGCGGAAAGGCCTCGGGAAGTTCCTCATACAGATCCTGCAGCTCATGGCCAATAGGTAAGGGCCCCCCATGTGGAAGGAGCTGCCTTTGAGGCATCTGCTGCCCTTCGAGCCTCCACGGAGGACAAGACTCATGGGAAGGATCCTTTCGAAAGAAAGGATCTAGAACCCTCTCAGCAAGATACTCCCTGCCCTGCTGTGACCCCAGATCTTGTGCGGTCAGCTCAGTGCGTGATGGGGATGCAGGCAGGAAGTGGAGTAGCCAGCCAGGTGCAGGGGGAGCGGGGGCTGCTGCCTGTGCAATCTCCTCGGCGCCCTAACAGAGGGGGCGCACTGTGCACTGTGGGTGCCGGGACGGAGCTGGGGCTCAGGAGTGCTTCTCGGGCAAATGGCAGAGGCATGGGAGAGAAAGCACGGCTTAGCATCTGTCTCTTTCTGGAAGGTGTTCTCTCTGCTTGCTTCTCAGCACACAGATGAAGAAAGTTATGCTAACGGTATTTAAGCACAATCATGGTGCCTACCAGTTCTTCAGAGAAGCGCTGCAGTAAGGAGCTGGGCCCTGGTGTGGGACTCTAGGTGCAGGAGGGGCCTGCCCAGTGCCTTTCTCCTGGGCCCAGCCCCCATTCATCTGGACGCCTGAGCTCCCAGTCCAGTGGTCGTGGGGGTTGGAGACTTGCGGGATGGTGTGGGAGTGTCCTCTGGCTTGGTCCCTGCCCTCCTTCTGCACCCTTGCAGCTAGGGGGTCTCATCAGGCCGGGGAGGGAGGCAGTCAGCTCCCTGCAGCCAACCTTGTCCTCCTGCCCCACAGATTCGAAATCGATGACTCTTCCCCCAGCATGTCCGGTTGCTGTGGGGAGGACTGCTCCTACGAGATCCTGAGCCGGAGGACCAAATTCGGGGACAGTCAGCACTCCCATGCGGGCGGGCACTGTGGTGGCTGCTGCCACTGAGCTCCCAAGCCAGAACGCTCTCTCCAAGGCCTGTTCTCCTCCCTCGTCTCACGCCGCTTGCCAGGTGCCCTCAGCTGTGGCCTCCTCAGCCCTGCACGTGCCAGGCTGCACCCTGAGGGCATGGAACCCCAAGGAGGAGCAGCCCGAGCTGTCCCTCCTCCTGGCTCCTAGAGGAGCAGAGTGCCAGGAGGGAGCACAGAGCGCGGGATGCTGAGGGCAGGGCTGGCGCAGGCCCGGGCATGAAGCCGTCCGCATGCTCTGCTCTTGCGTCCTGGAGCGTAAGATTCCCCGACTTCTCTGTAGCTGGATTCCTGACAAGCCCCTCCATCCCCCTGCCACATGCTTGGACAAATGGGGTGTTTGTGCCCACTGTTATGGAAGTCCTAGAGCCCCGAGTCGGGTCTGGCCAGTCCCCGGAGAGGAATGGACTGGGTGTAAGGTCTGGGCGTAGAGCGAGGCTTCAGAGAGACTCGTGCTTTGTGGACGGAACGTGCTGATGGAGACCGTGGGAAGGTCTTTTGTGCCATGACCCAGGGAAGCAAGAGTGCTCTTTCTAGCTTTTATGGGTCCACAGTTAGAGAGGAGTCGTTCCAGGAGACCAGCTGACTCTGGAAGAAGGCTGACCCCTCTCCATTGCTATCAGTGAGAGAGGGGCTGAGAGGACCAGGAACAAGGTGTCGAATGCGGCCTGCGTGCGGACAGTTGCTTCTTTGGGCTTTTGGACTTCGCCGCATTCTAAGCTGAACCTCTTGATCTCATGGCAGTGACTTGAGTTTTCATTCATAGAAAAAACCAGAGGTCCTGCCTCTTCCTCTCCATCATCCTTTCCCTGCGTCTCACCCCCACCCCAGATACCTCTGTCCTTACTCTCAAGGGGGGAATAACATCAGGGAGCCCATCGTCTTCCCCCAGAAGGACCCCTCATTCCTGGCATATTCAGTGCTGTTTCCGCGCGTATCTTGGTGCTGATAGCTCTCTGCAGATGGGGCGCCCCTCTCCAGAGAGCCCCCAGCCAGCAGCAGGCCCTCTGCCTGCACTCCCCAGCCTCACCCCCCGCTGCCTCAGTGAGGCGCTAGAGCCACTGCCCTGGCCAGCAGCTCAGGCTGCAGCAGAAACGCCTAGGTGGCCAATCAGCTGCTTCCCTCTCTCTGGACTCGCCCTACGGCAGTGGGGTGGAGCCAGGGTGGGGCGGGGGCTTCCTTTTCTCACAAGACAGAGGGTGCAGGGTCAGAGCTTCCACTTGTCCTGATCTCTAGGCCTTGTTCCCCCTCCAGGGAAAAAATGACCAAATCCTTATCCAGGAAAAAGCACCTAACGCCTCCCCCAGACATCCTGGAGCTCCGCTTTCAGGAGTGTCTCAAAGTTCTCGCCTTTGTGAAGTTGCTGTCGTGGCGGTCTTCCGGGCCGTCTGACCTCAGAGTCTGCCCACAGCCCGCCTCTGCCCTGACTCGGGCATCTGTGCTGGCGGATCTCCCCGGGGCCGACCTCGCTTCTCCCCTGGGTCCCTGCTTGTGTCGGGGACTATGCACACAGCCTCCTTCACCTGGCCCAGCCCCTGCTGAGTGCCCCCCGTTGCTCTTGACCCCACCAGCTGTGGCATGGGTCACTCCCTTGGAGAGGGCCCTGCAGCTTTACACTGGAATAAGCCCACCTGTGCCCTTGTCCTACTGGCTCCCAGGGACTTTACTCGAAAGGGAGAGTTTCAGTTTTTGAGAGGGCATCGGTGGGCTCCTTCCAACAATCATGGAACGACAGGCATGTTCAGGAAGAGTGTTTCCTCTGATCCTGGCTTCTCAAAGGATACAGAATGATAACTATTTATTGTCTTAGATCATGGATTTCTGATCCCTCCCACTCAAGGGGACCAAAAGGAACTCCCAGTGTAAGTCCCACGTAAGGTGAGTGCAGTGCATGTTGTCTCTTTTCCAGTCATTGGACAGCTGACTCCCAGCCCATGGATGGCTGGGTGCTTGATGCCACGCCCTGCTCAGCCTGCCGCGCCGGCCACTTTGGAAGGGCTGCCCAGGAGGTCAGGGCTGGGGCGGGCAAGGCGCTGCCTGAGACCAGCGTGTCGCTCTTGTCCGTGTTGAGTCCATTGTTCTCAGCCGTCAGTCTCTCCCCACTTCTCCAGGTCTTGGTTTTGAGAAACATCGCCGGCCTTCGCCAGGCTTTTTTATTGTTTGTGTGGGGCACATTAAAATATTTTTTGATTCTTTTCCTTAGTTATATTCACTCTATTTCAGGTTATTTTTGTTGATGTCAAATGTGCACATGACGTGTATGGTTCTTTTTAACCCTTTGTGGTTTTTAGAGGAAACTTTGAAGATAAACTCCCTGATATATATTTTTTCTTTAGCAACTTGTTATCACTGGAATCAAAGGGAAAACGTGATCTCATTTTGCATTGGTTGTATTTGTACGTCACAAATAAAAGATACTTTGTTCAGCTGCCGGGTAGTTCCTGCTGGGGCGCCGTGGGCAGTGTGAGCTCGGGGGATGCCCCAGACCGCAGACTGTGACAGCGTTGGGCCCAAATGCTGGGAGCCACATGGCTGTGATGGCCCCACACTCCTTCCTGTGAAGGCAGCTTCAGGCCTGAGAAACCTCAGGGTATCTGGGGCAAGCAGCCAGAGGAGGGAACTGAGACCCAATGCATGTGCTTGTGCCACTTTCCAGAAGCCCTGGGTAGAGGTCAGAGGTCTCCCGAGGGGCTCCTGCTTTGCATCCCAGAGAGAATCCCATGCCAAGCGCTGCGGCATCTGACATCTGCAGTTTAATGCAACTTTCAGAGAACTTGTGCGGGAGTCAGATGAGAGCGTCGGGCTTTCCTCCCTCCCTGTACTTTAATGCATCACTCAGAGTATTCTTCATCTTTTAGACTCCAACCCCCTCTTCCCTCCACTCGCAAAGACAAAGGCCCAGAGGAAGGGTAACTCATGTCAGTCTTGACAGAGCAGGAAAGTTATGAGCTGGGGAGGCTCTGTCCAGTCCCCTGAGTGTGACAGATGGAGCTTTGCAGCTTCTCTCTCAGGCGGGACTCCTGCCAGTCCTGGCCCAGGGTGAGCTGGGAGGAGAGGCAGGAAGTGGGCTGGGAGCTAGGGCTCAGAAGCACTTCCTGCGGACACTGGAGGGGCCGCCTCATCGTGCTCCTGTGGCCACATCCGTGGAGACCACAACTGCTGGAAGGCGGAGAGGGAGGCCGGGACGGAGCCCCCAGGCCACGCGGAGTATTTGTGCTCCGGTGGGGCAGTTACCTGGGGAAAGAGGAGCAGGGGTAATAGCTGCCTGGTGGGTGCCAGCGTGCTGTGGCCACGGCCCTGTGGCGGGGCACACCCAGGGGATGGTTCCTGCAGCTGTTCTGTCTTTGAGGCACCAAGAATGGCATCGCAGTCTTCAGGGAGGGACAGCGCATTTTGTTGGCTAATCATAGAACAGATTTCTCATGTGACAAAATTTTGCCCCCAAGTTCCTTGTTTCTTGAAGGCTATCTACATCCCAGGCAGGGAGTCCCGGAATGGCCATCTCCTTGCCACAGGTAAATGGCCAGAGTTGGAAGGGGTGGGGCCCTTTCTTCATCACTGCTGGCTGGGTCTGCGCCTTCCACCTTCCTGAGTGTCCCTCTTCGGTCCTCCACAGACCGCCTCGTGCGCTGCCTCCAGCCCTCCCTCCAGCTGCAGCTCAGGCTGCTGCTCTCCAGTGGCACTTGCTGAAACGCCACACTTCAGCGAGCAGGTGGAGCGAGAGGCACAGCTGCCGGATAAGTGGTCAGAACCTGAGCGACCTCCCCAGTGGGAGGGCCCTGGGTGCCAGCTGGTTTTCATAGGCAGGCCTCGAAGGAGGTCCATGTCCCCAAGGATGGGGTTACCCTAGTTCTCCAATTCCTCGCCAAGTTCAAGAGGCTGTTCTCATACTGCCTGAGAACAAAGGTCTGGGCAGATGGGAAGGTACCGTGGAGGAGACTCGTAGACTGGACAGCCAAACGCGGATGTGTTGCTACTCGGCTGTGACAGGGAAGGAAACTGGCATTTGGTCAGCCTCTGCTATGCCAGTGACAGCTCACACTCAGCGCTCCTGTGTGCCAGGCGCAGGGGGATGTGTACTCGGCTTAATCCTTGCAACGGCCGTTCCATCATGGTGGTGTCATTCTCCCCACCTTGATCTTCATGGTGCCGGGAGCCAGCGCAGTGATCCACATCCAGTCTGCAGTGCCCAGGTATGAGGTTGTGCCCCAGACGGGCCATGACTGGCGTACAGGTCTTTGTAGATGTCAGTCACCCTTCATGATGGAGCTGTAACTTGTCTTGCTGATCTTGGTACCTGTTGGTCTTAAGGCCCTGTCTTCCTTCTCAGGGCTTGGCCTGGCGGGACAAAGCTGGCTTGTCACCAACCAGAGGACTGTTACCTGAGAGGGGTTACTGCTGTCCCATGTAGAGGACTGCCAAGAAAGATGGGGACTAGAGTTGAGAAGGCCAGTGTCAGGGTAGTGGCCACCCCGTGGAGCAGAGGCTTACCCACTGAGGAGGGCTGGGAGAGGGTCTTGGGACGGGATGCGTGCGTTGCTAGTGGCAACGAGCTGTCTGTGAGGCAGCTCGTAGCTCTTCTCCTTAGAGGAGGAGGAGGCAGCCGTGGCCATGTCACACTCAGAGTCTAGGGCCATTGTGCCCCAGCTTTTCCTTGATGTCCCTGCACGGTCTTCTCCGCAGCTGGATGGGGGAGGAAGGAGTGACGAGTTAGAGGAAAGGTGAGCCTGACCTCTGCTGGCTGCCCTGGCTTAGCCCTGCAGCCCAGCTTAGCCCTCTGTGCCCCGGACCCCCCGAGTCCCATCACCAGGCCAGGGAGAGTGGCATCTGTGGGAGCCTTCCGCCTGCATGTGCGTGCACACATAGTCCCTTCGTTTCCTGGACTCTGCCTGTGCGGAAGTGGACAAAGTGAACCTGTAAACCTGTATTGGGGCTTCAGGAATCTCTGCTTTGAGATCTTAATCTATGAAGGTGAACATTTGCTGGCCCCTCTGGGGCTGAGGTCAGACCACACTGTACCGCGCTCAGTGTAGGGAGGAGGCCTTGAAGGACAGGGACCGGGCTGGGAAGGACCTGGAGCCTCTGATTGAAGGGGGTTGGGGCATAGCCCCGAGCCAAGGCCAGGGAGCAGAACTGAAGCCACAGCTGCCCGGGGGGTTGGGCCCCGTGCCCCACTTTTCCCCAAGGACTGTTAGCCCCAGGGCCCCAGGAGAAGGGCTGGTGTGCCAGGCCCTGTACTGAGGTGTGGTCTTGCCCTGGCACAGGAGAGCACTGTTGCGGGGAAAGGGTCCCGGGGGTGGCTCCTCTACCCCACCCCTCACCAGTGGGGACAAAGAGATAGCCACGCTCAGTGAGAACCCTCATGAGGTAGCCGGTGAGGTGCTGGCCCGCCATGTCCAGGCAGGTACTGCATGGTGAGGGGCAGCACGCAGCCCTCGGCTGGGCACGTCGTGGGTGCCGCTGTCTCGAGTCCAGCGTGATGCCTGGGCAGTGGGTTCCACGGGGGCTTCGGGGATGGGGAGCAAGGAGGTGGCCCGCACTCCTGGGCAGCCCGAGTCCTGACTGTTGGATGCAGTGAGTGGGGAGGGGCGCAGGAGTCCAGGGGTGGGGCTCTCAGGTACAGGGCCTTAGGGTCCTCTGGGGGCCTGGGTGCGAGACGGGGTATTGAGAACAGTGAAAAAGAGTAGAGCTCTCACCCTGGGCTTGAGGTCAGAAAAGAGGTCAGGGGCCTGGAGGTGAGAAAGGGTCCCTAGGGTTTGCAACTGAGTCCAGGCTGGGGTCCCAAAGGCAGGGGGATATGGATGTGGGGTCACGGCAGGGTAAGGATGAGACAGGGCATGGTCCTCATGGTGGTGCAGCCAGAGGCGTACAGCAACACCACAGGTTTGGACGGCCATACATGACAGCAAGGGTGAAGGTCTTGAGCATGACCTGAGTCATCTTTTTGCTGTTGCCCTTGGGGTTAAGTGGGGCTTTGCTGAATGGTGCCTGTGCTCCTTCCAGGCCACACACAGCTTGTAGAGGCTTTGCTGGCAGTTCCTCTCCCTGTCCTCCCAACCCTCTTTGAGCCTCAGTTTACCCAACTATACCCTGGGGGCTGGCGGGACGGGGAGTGGCAGCATGCGGACACTTGGTGGTCTGACTGTCACCCCTCCCAGTGAAGCCAGCCTTTGCCAAGCCCAAGGTGTCACACATGAGCGAGGTGATCTAGTCCTCGTCACACGTGGCCACTGGCTGTGGCTGCAGGGCGGAAGGGGTTAGCCACCAACCGGCTCCCTGTGGGACCACTGGGGCAGAGCCAAAACCAGCTGTGTCCTCCTGGAGTGAGCAGCACCTGCACCCTACCCCTTCCTTGCCTCCTCATCTCCCCCATATTGCTCAGCCCAACAACTGCTTCAGAGCCCACTCCTGGGTGTCTGGAGCCTGGGGAGAGCTGTGCTCCAGGAGGAGCAGATGCCCCCTCCAGGACCCTGCCTCTCCCTGTCCCACCTCCAGCCTGGGGGCTCCTTGCTCCCTGTCATCCCAGACCAGGGCCAGCTCAGATTCAAACCAGCCCTTATCTTCCAGGGGGACTGGTCCCTCCTGCCCCTTTCTCTTGCTGGACTTTGCAGGATTGCTCCCATTTTGCAGATAGGGAAACTAAGGCCCAGGTAGGTGAGGGAAGTAATGCAGCAAATCAGGCTTAGACCTGCGGCCACCCCTTCTTGAACCTTCCTCCTCTGGACACTGGGCCCTTCCTGGTACTACTAGGGCCTCTTGCTGCTATCCCCACCTCAGGGAGACGGTCCCTCTACACCTCAGCTGCCCTCAATGAGCGTCCTGGGTAGTCTCCTTCACCCTGCCACCCTCCCACTGGCCAACCCCAGGCTCGGTGCCTGGCACCCACTTGACATGCCAGAAGGAGAGTCCAGGCTAGGCGGGGAGACCGGAGACCCCAGTTCAGGTTGGTACCAGCTCCATGTCAGATGTTCTGGGTGACTGTAAGTTCCAGAAGGTATCAGGGGAAGGGGTGGAGTGCTAAGAGATTTGTACCTGCTGACCCCATGGTGCTGGGGTGTGGCCCCCGTCTCCAGGACTCAAAAGATCCATATTTGGAGAGAGAAGTTATTGGGCCAGAGCCTTAACTGGACAGTGGACCAGCCCTGGGGTGGGTGGCACCTAGTATTTCTCTATCTCTAACCCCGGGCCATGGACAGCCCTGGGGTGGGTGGCACCTAGTATTTCTCTATCCCAGGGGTCCCCTAACCCCGGGCCACGGACTGGAGTGGTACCAGTCCATGGCCTGTTAGGAGCAGGACCACACAGCAGGAGGTGAGTGGCGAGTGAGTGAATGAAGCTTCATCTGTATTTGCAGCCGCTCCCCAGCGCCAGCATCACCGCCTCAGCTCCGCCTCAGATCATCAGGCATTAGATTCTCATAGGAGCCCCGGTCCCTGGTCCCAAAAAGGTTAGGGACTACCACTCTAGCCCATGTACGGTCAGTGGGTCTGGGGGCCAGCTCTGGGATGGAGCACATGGGATCTTCCCAGCCCATATGTGATCATCAGGGCCTGGGGACCTGGTTTGTGAAGCTGGTCTCAGGAGTGGGGACCAGCTCTCTATCATCCCCAAGGCTTGGGACCTGTTCCTACTGCCCCATCAGGGAAGGGGGAGTTGGAGGACCGCTTAGATCAGAGCCAGGACCCAGGCTGGGGCCTCTAGGCCTCCCCCACCCCCCCACCACACCCATGCAGGGAGAGACTTCCTGCAATCTGGTCATGGTGGGCAGTCCCGGGGTGGGAGTGAGCTCCCCATCCTTGTAGACGGTGCAGAAGTTGCCAGGGTGTCAGAGGAGATCCCTGCCCTGTGGAAGCCAGTCCAAAGCGTCTGTCACCCATGGGGCAAACATCACTCATTGAACCAGCGAATCCCCATCTCCTTGCTTGCTTACCTAATGCTGTAAGGAGTGCCCATGTGCGATGTTGGCAAATGCAGGAGAGAAAGGCCAAAAATGTCCCTGCCACCATCTAGACAACACCACTGTTCACTCTGTGTGTCCTTTTAGACGTCCGTCTTTCTCTAGATGCTTTTTCTTTATTTTAGAAAAACAAGATCATATCACACATTATGTTTCCCTTGCTATTTTTTCTTGTCTGTTTTAAAACAACTGAAATGTGACAGGCATACAGAAATGTGCACAAGTTGTGAATGTCTAGCCACTTGCGATGGAATTATCACAGCGATCACATTTGTGTAACCAGCACCCAGAAGCCCCATCACGCCTCTCCCAGTCCCTATGCCCTCCTGCTTCCCCCAGGATCCCCACTACCTGACCACCCCGCCACATCATGGCTTAGTCCTTCCTGCTACTCTTCGTGTGAATAACTGTAGCTGTAGGAGGTTCGTTTTCACTGCTATAGAGTGTTTGGTTATATAAAACACCACAGGGTCCCCTACTCTCTTGTCGAAGACCTGCCCCTGCTTTTTTGGAGGGATGCGCTGCTGGGGAGCTGGGAGAAGGGCAGAGACGTTAGTATTAACCCAACAGTATTAATTGCAGACCCTGTCCTGGCAATCGTAGGCTCAGCCATGGTTCTTAACCTTGGCTATCCTCTTTCCTCCTCTGATGGTGGTTCTGGGAGAAGCCACTTCACAGGGGCCTTGAGGAAAGCCCTGGAACAGAACACCTGTGTGCCTGCTTCACAAACGTTTACTTCTTTTCCTCCAGCTGCTGGTGAAGGAGTTGAACATGCTGTTCTTGAGGGAGTAATCCAGGGAAACAGAGAAAGGCCCCTCCCTTCCTCGAGTATTTTAGGGTCCCTTGCCTGGCTGCTCTCTAATCTGGGCGTTATTACTTTGTTCATAGGACAAAAGCCTGACAAAACCCAGTAGGGCAGCAGGGAGGTCCCTGCCCCTTCCTTCTCCCAGTGGCAGGCAGCCCAGCCCTGGGCCCCTAGGCTGTGTCCCTTTGGATTGGGGTGGGGCGGGGATTTAGAAGCATCTGACCTGGGCTGTTTGCCAGAGCCCAGGGCAGGGGAAGGGCAGGGAGCCTGGTGGTAGGGGTGGGGGTGGGGTGGGGTGGAACTGAGACCAGTGTACTTCAACAATGCCCACAAGTGGGTGGGAAAGGGGTGAAGAAAGGCCCTGATATATTCCTCGGGGCCTGGGAGTGCACTCCTCCAGAGAAGCTCAGGCACAGCCCACCCTTTGGGATCCTCTGGGGTCATTGCAGCCTTTCTGCGAGGCCCTTTTCTGCCCCCATGGGGCTGAGGCTTCTCCTCCAATGCTCCTGTTTTCCCAGTCTCTTGCTACCCCACCTCACCCCCATCCCCTGCCACAGCCTTTGATGCTATTGACCACAACATCAAAACTGGAACTTCTGGAAACTCTCCTCCATAGCAGTTTTCCCAGTCTCTTGCTACCCCACCTCACCCCCATCCCCTGCCACAGCCTTTGATGCTATTGACCACAACATCAAAACTGGAACTTCTGGAAACTCTCCTCCATAGCAGCTTGCGCGACAGTTAAAAGCATGGGTTTCTGAGCAGACAGACCTGCCCTGGAATCTTGCCTAGGCCGCCTTGTAGTCACGTGACCTTAAGCAGGTCACCCAGTTCTCCAGGTTTATTTTCTCCTTTATAAAAAATTTGAAAGAATAGCATCTCCCTCATGACATTGTTATGAAGATGGAATGAGATTACATGGGTAAGTCCTGGCTCGGCGGCTGGCCCCTCGCCCCTTTCCTGTTCACCTTACACCTACTGTTCAGTCTCCTGCAATTCATGAATGTCCGAGTGTCTGATGTGTACCCGGTCCTTTGGTGAACCAGCCACAGACTTTGCTCTCAGGTGGCTCCCTAGTCCAGGGATGGACACCGACCCTCTGGGTAGTGCTACCACGGGGACTGCTGGGCACAGAGGTGGCACAAGGCCTGGGGTGGCCAGTGAAGGCTAACTGACACAGTGCCACCTCATTACTTCCTATCACATCATGGCACTTTCAATAGCTTCTCATTAAGTTCTTGTTTATTGTCCGGCTCTCCCCTCTGGATTGTCAGTTCTTGTTCACTACAGGTCCAGAACAGTTTCTGGAACACAGTAGTGGCTAGTAAATATTTGTCGAATAAGGTGAGATGTATCAGTAAGTGGAAGCTGGAGTGGTGGAAAAGGAAGGCTAGCTAAGAGGTGAAAAAGTGTTCCAGGTAGAGCATAAGATACAAAGAACCAAAAGGTTTAGGGCAGGGCAGAGTGGGTAGAGGGAGGACCAGTGAGCAAGGAGGAAGGTGTGGAATATTTAGAGATGAGGCTGGAGTCACATGCAGATACTGGGGCTTGGTCCAGCAAGCAATGGGAACCAATCCAAGTCAAGGTGGTGTACGACTTGGTTAGGTTTAAGTTTAAAAAGAAGGAAGGAAGGAAGGGATGGAGGGAGGAAGGGCGGAAGGTCGGCTGCCACAGCGTGAAGACTGGGATTAGACAGGGTAATAGTAAGTCAGGGAGAGTTCAGTTAGGTCAGTGTCAGGCGTTCCCGCCAGAAATAATAGAGGCTGGGCGGAGAGGAGGGATTTCTGAATAGAGAGAGAGATTTGAATACTGAATGAATGGAGGGAGGAGTGTAGAGTGCCGCCTTGGTTTCTGACTTATGTGATAGGATGACTACAGATGTCGCTCAGGAAGATAGGCCGCTTTGGGGGCGGGGAAAAACAGAAGGGGCCGCCCCTCGATGCCCCGCCTATCGGCGGTAGGATGGTTTTAATTGGCTGTTTCGAGGAACGCGCCAAAAGCTGACAAGGGTGGGCGGGAGGCGTGTCCTTGCGCCATTTCCGGGACGCCCTCTCCTTGCCTCCCTAACTCCGGAACTTCCGGCCGCGCTCTCCATTTTGACTTCCTGACCTTGGGTTTGCGTTCTGCTGTCTGCAGTGTACTCAGTGCAGTCATGTCTGTGCTGACGCCGCTGCTGCTGAGGGGCCTGACTGGCCCGGCCCGGCGGCTGCTGGTGCCGCGTGCCCAGCTCCATTCCAAGCCGCCGCGGGAGCAGCTCGGAACCATGGTGAGGAGCGGGTCGGACCGTGGGTTCCGCGGCGGCTTTGGGGCGGCCGGGTCTGGAGCACTGGACCGCGCGGCCTGAGATTGTCCCGCACTTCGCGACTCGCAGCATAGCGGGGTGGCAGCGCTGGTTTTGGCATGTTGGAAGGGACAGTGCCCGGGCCAGAGTCGTTCAGTCAGCCCCAAGATCTCGGGTCACCTCTTGTCAGTCCCAGTCCTGTTGCTTAATCACTGTGCAGCCTCGAGCAAGCCCTCTCTGACTCCGTTTACTCATCCGTTTATTAGGAGTGCCTGACGACAGCTCCCACTATAAATATTAGGGAATAGGGTGGACAGGAGGTCTTTCTAGTTACCAGAAATGTGGGAGGGTTTAACCCTTCGTGACCAGAAATGTGGGAGGGTTTAACCCTTCGTGACAGTTTTCACCCGTTTGACGTTTTCGTACGTTGCCTCAGCGGCAGAACCCGGCCTTGAATGCAAGTCTTCAGAATCCGGATCGGCAGATCTGCAGTTAAAGCACAGCCGGGGGAGATCACAGCGTTTGAGGAAATAATAGTGAAAATATAGCAACTGGCATCGGCTGAGCCCCTCTCCGTGCCAGGCACTGTGCCAAGACTGCTGTGTTGGTCTCAGCCAGTCCTCCCAGAGACCCGGAGAAGAAAGGGCCGTTATCTCCATTTCGTGGTTGAGGGAACTGAAATTTAGGAGCAGTGTATTAACATGTCAAAAGTCACACCTTCAGTGGCAAAGAAGGAATCTGAACTCCGTGTGACTCCAGGTTTTGCTGTGATCTCAACTGCTATAGGGAATATGAAAGTGGATGTGGAAAGTCTTTTATCTCTAGCCCCAGCGGTTAAATAGCAAGTCCTGGAAAGGAGATGGGAAGGGAGGGGTTTCGAAGGCAAGGAAGGGGAGGTGGATTTTTAGAGTTATTGGCCAATGCAGGGTTCCTGGGTCTCAACAGATCAGCTCTAAGCAGGTTAAAATTCTCGTTCCTGTCCCTTCACTTTATCAACTGATGGTGGGTTTCTCCATGGATCCTAACCCATGCTGGCCCCCACCACTGTATCTGACACTTTACCTCAAGACCTAGAGTGGACCTTGGATCTGCTACGTCTCTCCTCTGGAACCTGAGTCCTGACTCCCTGAGGGGGTGCTTTTGGCCTCCGACTGTGGGAGGCCTGGGGCAGTCCTTACTCTGGGGGGTTCCTTCTTCCTTGTGCTCTGTGTAGGATATCGCCATTGGGCTCACCTCCTGCTTCCTGTGTATCCTCCTTCCGTCCGGCTGGGTCCTGTCTCACCTGGAGAGCTACAAGAAGCGGGAGTGAAGGGGGACCGTCCTCTCTCTTCACCCTGTGACCTGACCACCCCTGGCCTGTCCTGATCATGTCTGCTGCATTCCTGGCCAGCCTCCCCTGGACCACGTCCTTCAATTACTGTGACCTCTCGATTTCTCCATTGCGACATCATGGGACCACATATATTGATTTATAAGGCCCTGCTCGGTAGGGCCCCTGTTGTAACAATAAAGTCTATTTAAATCTTGCTTCGGAAGCTCATCGTGGCTTTGACCTGGGCTCCTGCCTCCATACTTGAGCCGAGGTTGGTGTTGGGTGGGGGTGTGGAGAAGAGAGCCTGACTGGCTGCATGTCCCTGCTGGATGACTGCCCTGTGATGTGTCGCATGTGCTCGGCCATTCTTGCTGCCTGGGAGAGGTGCTTCCTTTGCATACTTTCATAAGTTGAAATGTTTTCTGGCTCCTTGGGAAAACAAAGCCTGCTGGCATTGGGCAGCCTTTCTTTCTCATTCCTTCTAGCATCCTTGGTTGTGTCACGCTCAAGGCTGTGTGTGCATGCCTGTCTTCTGCCACTGGGGCCGCCTCTGCTGCTGGAAGCCCTTCTCTATGGGTCCAGCCTTTCCTGTCCTCAGTCGGCGGGCTCCAATCCTTTCTCAGGTGGCGATGTCCTTCCTAGCTGGAAGACGGGATACTTTGCGGTGTCTTATTTTATTATGTCAACTCCAGGGCCTCTTTCCTTTTAGTACTATATTTGTAAACGCTTATGGATTGACCGGCTTCTTTGTTTTCCCTGCCTGCTTCCCCTCTCTTTGTTGCCTTGGGGAATTTGCTGCTCCTCCATCCCTAGGCCCTTCCTCAGTGATTCCTCCTGGGGTGTTATGGGGGGAGGGGGTTGCTCCTTAGCTGGGGTGCTCCTTAGCTGGGGCAGTGCATGTGAAGTGCTCCACACTAAACTGGAATCCTGACTGCCAGTGTCTGGAAGGAACCCTCAGACCTGGCCCCAGCCCTGTAGGACATCAGGCTGTCCTTTGTATTCTCTTTTACTGGAGTAACATGGCTGATTTCTGAACAGATACAAGTTCAGTATCCCCTGTGGAGCTGAGGCTGCCAGGACTCCTGGGGCCCAGATGGTGTGTAAAGCTGCCAGGTGAGAGCTGAGGGGCTCTAGGGCGTGGTTGGCTTTAGGCCCTGGCTGTCAGAACACACCTTCCCAGCCCCTCTTTTGCAGAGCTCTTGTTTTCTGGTTTATGTTGACTGAAGCTGAAGGTGGACCTCGCCCTCTTTCCTTTTGTCTAGTCTTTCTTGGCCTTTTTTGTGTGGTGTCCAGTGATGCCTGTGGGGCCCAGTGCCTGGATACTGTGGCAAGTTTAGCTCCTGCCCGTGGCTGCTTCCCTGAGGGGTGGGCAGTTGGTTGCTAGGCTTGTTTCCTTCCATACAAGCCAGGCTTTGTGCTTGGGCCTGGAGGGACAGTGCCTAAAATGCTGGGAGGTGTGCACAGGTTGGGATACAGGCCAGGGGAAGAGGAGAGCCCTTGTGGGATCTGAAGGGCCAGCCTGAGCCAGCCTGGGGTGCCGAGCAAGGGGCATCCACCTGTCACTTGCAGGTACTTCAACAGCACCCTTGTCTCTGGGGAGAGGGGCCTAATAGCTCTCTCTTCCCAAACAACGGGGGCACCCCATTCCCTTCCTCACTCTGGGAGGCTTTCCTGTTGACACTTCCTGAGCGCAGAGAGCTGTTTGGCCCTTGGTTGGCTCAGCTCGTTTCTGGGCACAGATTAGGCCACGGGGGTGCCCTGTAGCAAGAATCTGACACTAGGAGAGAAGAGCTATCTTGGATTTCTATGGTAACTCCACTGCCCTGTCAAGGGTTTTGATCGGGTGTCCTCCATTTTTGTGCCCCTGGAACCTAAAGGGACAGTGGTCCCTCTGTCCCAGGAGGACTACTCCAGCCCAAAGCTGTGCATCTCGAGCCACCGCTCAGGTTGATGGGAAGCCAGCGGTTACAGGCAAGCCCTTCAGAACCCTGGTCTGAGAAAGTCCTCACCAAGCCCAGCTGTTCCCCCAGCCCTTGTTCTCCCAAAGCCTGCTGGGCCCCGGATATGTGGGTGTAGGCAGGTTCATGCACAGAAGGGTGGTTGGGACAGTGTAGGGTGCAAGTGACCTGTTTGAACCCCATCCTCCTTTTGGTTCTCAGTGTGGCCACTAAACCTGAAATCTGGGCACCTTTCAGTGTCCCTCTCTCATCTCCAACCAAATCAGGGGCCCTGGGACCATTCCCTATAGAGAAAATGTTTCTTGTACTCCCAGGAGCATTTCCTGTGTCTGAGGTCTCTGTTGGATCCTGAGTCTGGAGGGGTGGGTGTTTGTGCCCAGGTGTGCACCCTGGATTGGGGAAGGCTGCAGTCATGGCAGATGCTGTAAGGTCAAGAACAGTGCTCTGGGAGTCAGAGGCCTGGCTTGGTCATTTACTGTATGACCTTGAGCAAGACATTTAGCCTCAGCCTCAGTTTTCATGATTTAAAATGAAGGTGATGTGTCAGAATAATGTTCCCCCAAAGATGTCCATGCCCTAATTTTTGGAATTTGTGAATAAGTCACTTTACCTGGCAAAGGGGACTTTGCAGGTGTGATTAGTTAAGCATGTTGAAATGGGAGGTTATCCTGTGGGCCCAGAGCAATCGAGTCATTACAGTGGATGAGAAAGGCAGCACGCATCTCAGAGATGCCACCTGAGAAGGACTGCGTGTCCATGCTGGCTTTGTAGATGGAGAAAGCAGGCCAAGAGCCAAGGAATGCAGTGGCGTGTAGAAGCTGGTGACAGCCCTGGATTTACAGCCAGCAAGAACATGGGAATCTCAGTGGTAACAGCTGCAAACAAGTAAATTTTGCCAACAATCTGCATGAGTAGGAAGCGGATTTTCCCTCAGAGCCTTCCGAAAAGAACGCAGCCTGCAAAGATCTTGATTTTGGTCTGGTGGAACCCATAGCAGACCTCCGACCTCCGAACTGCAACATCACATTTGTGTCGTTTCTGAGCCACTAGGTGTGTGATGATTTGTTTACGGCAGCAATAAGGGAGCTAAATGCATCATTCTGGTGGTGCAAGGCTCTCCCCGGGAGGGGCTGGGTCCTCAGCAGACCCGAGATGTTTTGGAATATGAGGCTCTTACAGGAGGACGTGTGAGGAGTATAGGTGGTATGAGTCTGAGGGGTGCCTCTCCCTTTGTCGCCCCTGCCCGTCTGTTTGCTTTCTGCCTTAGGTGGTCTGGACCCTGCCTGCAGATATCGACCCAGCCAGCAGCCCGGAAGTACGGCCCCTACTGGCTTCATCAGTCTGGCCTCTGCGCCTTCAAAACCTTGCTAGTCCATGATTTTGGGGCTGGTGGCCTGTGGACCATCATGGGTTACTGCAGTGACAGTTCAAGAGGTTCACTGGGGGCCGGGCACGCCCCCACTCTTCGCATTCAGGTGGCTGCCTGCCCCCCAAGGTGGCCTCAAAGGATCTCTGAGCCCTCATTTTTAGCCCACATTTGACACTTTCTCTTGGCCATGGCCTCCCTGTGAGGATTGTGACTGTCCGAGGGGCTGTGCCGTGTCCTTGTCGCCTGGCCTCCTTCCCGAGAGGTGGCCCCTTGGGGGCTCTGTGCCATTCTGTAAACCCTTCCTCCAAGGCCGAGGCTGGGGTTTCACAGCCCCTGGGGCCTGGTTTGGGGTCTCCTCTCCCTCCACCAGACAGAAGCCGATGGATGTGGATGTGGGGTCCGGACACCCTCCTGGGCTGTGAAGAGGTATCTGTGCCATGTTGGTACTAAGGAAAATAAAGTCCTGGGCTGCTGCCCATCACCTTTGTGACTATCCAACAGCCGCTGGAAACCCAGTAACAGTGCCGCCTGTTTCATTGCAAGCCTCAGCGGCACTGGGCCATTTCTGGGTTGGCAAATTGGGAGGCAGAGAAAAGTCTGGAGCTATGCTGGTGACTGCAGCAAATGTGCAGTTGGTTTTAGATGCTTCAGAAGAGAATTAAAACCCCCAAACGGTAAAAGTAACACCAAATAAATTTGTATGGAAAAGAGTGGCACAAAAGTTGAGCACCGTGGGCTGGATTAAGAGCAGCAGCTTCCCTCCGGCCATTTCCTTCCCATCCTGCCTGAGGAGAGGAGGAGGGCCGGATGGCAGGTAGGAGGAAGGACCCTCCTTTACAGCCCTTTGTACGTGAGGGTGTGGGTCTGTTCTTCAAGCCCCAGACATTTGAGAGAGAGGTATTTACTTGTTGTTGGCAGCTCGGCTGCAGCCCAGCACTGGCCCACAACTGGGATCCCTTCTCACTCTCCAGAGCAGCTGTGTTCCCTGTCCTGACCATTGGTCCCAAACCCAGCTCCCCGTGTGTCCTCCCCGACCAGGGACTCCCAGTTGAAGTAAGGGTGGGGGAGTAGGGGTGGAGTTGTTTTATAGCTATTTTCAAGATTTTGAACAGCCCAATAGAGTGTTCTCATCATCAACTATCTTAGCTCTTCATTTGGTAATACCAGTTTTACTCCACCGACTGAAGATCTGATTGGCAGTTACAGATTTCATTGTTAAAATCCAAGCAAGGAATGAACAGTTTGGTAGGCATGGGGTCCAAACAGGGTGGACCTTTTGCTTTTTTGAATTTGAAAGAAACCGCAAGGCTCCATGACCCAATAAATAGCAATTTGCAATGTTTCTGGGACACAGATTTGACATTTGTAGCACTACCATGAGGTCACCGTGGGCTGTGTGGTGAGCCCAGGCACCAACTGTACCTGCTCCAGGACTGGACGGAGCTCATGAAAACATTCGGCCATATTCCACTCCTGTACTCTCACGGGGCTCAGGTGCAGCCTCTTTGAGTGTTAGACCACTGCTCTGTCATGAAAAAGGCCCTCAGCAGTGAAAACTTGGGAACTAGAGCCCCAGACTGTAACCTCTCTAAACAGCATCTTCAGCATTCGAAACCTTGCCACTTTTAACCCTTTTTATTTTTGGACAACTCAGGCAATTTCAATAGATCACACGGGAAGATCCCGTGTACCCTTTACCCACTTTCCCCCATTGGTAACATCTACAACCACACCCACTTCCCTCCAGGCCCCACCCGCTCCTTAACCCCCTGGCAACCACTAATCTGTTTTCCATTTTTATTAACTCCCTGTTTAAAAAAAAACCCTACTTTTCTCATAATCAGAAGTCCACGGAGTCCAAAGTTAGGTCCCAAGACTTTGGCCTTGACTCCAGGGGACATGTTGTCCCTGCAGGAAGCAGAGCACCAAAGCCCGCCCAGGACCAAGACTGGTAGAAAGGGGTGTCTCAGGCTCGGATCTTCGCACGATTCCCCGTCTCCTCGGCCAGGCACCCACTGCCATCGCCTGCCGTGAGCTCTGGAGCCCACCTCAGGAATGCTGCCTTCGGTGATTTTAATTTCACTTTCCTACTTATCTCAATAACACAATCCGCGTTTCAAACTCCAGAGAAAAGAAAACTGAACAGGATCCATGAGGCTCTTCTCAGCACCGGGAGCTTTGGGAGCCTGGGAAGATGGAGCCAAGCAGGTGCGCGGGTAGACGGTGGGTGGGGCAGTCGTCCCTCACTGGGCCTGGGCTCCTACGGCCCGGGCGGCCACAGGAACTGCGAACACCTCAGGTGACAACGCCCGAGGGGATCCCGTTGCCAGGGGCGTTGCCAAGGAGGGGCCACGAGGAGGGGCTCTCTTCCGGGAGGAGGGCAATCGGTAACCCGGAAGCGGTCGGCAGTGCGGCGCTGTTTAAAGATGGCGGCGGAGGAACCTCAGCAGCAGAAGCAGGAGCCGCTGGGCAGCGACTCCGAAGGTACTGGCCGAGGGAGGGCTGTCCGGCCCGGGCTAGCGGGGGTGATGCCGGGCCGCTGGTTCTCGGAGAGGCCGAGGACGGGACGGCCGGTGGCCGAGGATGAAGCTAGCGGACGGCCCTTTCCTCCGCCGCCGCCGCCTCCCCTCCCCCTCACAATGGAAGGAGCTGCCGCCGCCGCGACCCC